GGGAGCAGAACGCCTCATCTTTCTCCCGCGGAACCGCTGGTAGTTTCGAACTGCTGACCTTACGGTTCGCAGCCCGATTCGTAACCACTACGCTACCAGAGCTCCTTAAAAAGCCCAAAAACAGTGGATTTTAAACTTGGTTGTATGTTTTAGAATCACTTGAAGAGCTGTAAAAAAATACTGATGCCTGGGTCCCACTGTAGAGATTATGGTAAATTTGGTTTGTTGGGGACAACTGGGGCATGGGGAGTTTGAAAACTTCTTGGCTGGTTCTAATGTAAGGTAACCAAGTCACCCCAATTTGCCTGAGACCTCTTTGGGTTTAGCCCTAAAAATTCTGTATGGCAGGACCCTTCTCCATCATTGGTCAATCAGAACAGCTGAACACCCTATTCTAATGTGAAACCAGGGCTGCTATAGATTCCCCATCAAGCCATCTGTGTACTCCACCCACAGACTGATGACTGTTATCCCTGTGAACAGTTCAAGTCTTGTTGTTAGCTGCCCTCCAGTCGGCTCTCACTCATGCCTTGCCAGAATAAAACACTGCCTGGCCCGGCCACTAGCCCCATGATCCGAATGTTGGGATCCATAGGGTTTTCATTGGCTGATGATTTTTGGAACTAGGTTGCCAGACTTTTTTTCCTAGTCTGTCTTAGTCTTTAAGTGCTACTGAAATCTGTTCAACATCATAGCAGCATGCAAGCTTTGGCTGACAGGTGCCACATGTGAAATGTACATTAGAGGGTGAGGATTCTACCACTGAACCACCAGCAGCCTCTGGTGTCAAGTAGGGCTGCTTTATCCAGGGCTAATTGTCTAATTTGACAGCATCGAGAGTACGAAGCCCCCTTCACAAAGCTGTGTGTGTGGACTGTGATCTCCCTCCAGCCGTTGCAGCTGAAGAGAGCAGGATGGAGTCTAAAATGTCATGGATGGACATGTACCTGATCACAGTTTGACCTTTGTCATCAATATCGCTGTTGTCTGCTCTGGGGAGAGCTCTTTCTTCCTCCTGCCAATTCAAGGGTTCTGGAAGGAGGGTGTCGTCTGGTACCACACCCTCGTTAGCCTGGCATAGACTGTGCTCTGGAGAGAGGTGCTTGGTGGCAGAAGAACAGGAGGTACATTGGAGCCTGGACCCAGAGCTTTTTGGAATTGGAAAAGCTGCACAAGGGTGTTCCTAATCAGGGTGCACTCTTTGCAGATTAGTACCCAAATCAGATCAAGCTAATTACAGTAATTGATTTGACTCCAAATGATGTCCCGGTGTGATTTTTCCTCAGTGGGTAATTGCTGAATGAATGGGGCTCTTGATGGACTTCATGTGCTGTCTGAGGAAAGTCAACTGCCCTCTGGGTGTGGAGAAGGGCGGGAAGGAGGGGCGGGATCCTGGCAGCTGGCTTAGAAAAGGCCAGAGCAGAGGGGAAGGGAGCTGTCAGAGCGACCTCACCTGGTTACCTGCCACAATTAGTCTGTGGTTTTGCTGCCCAGGGCCAGTGGACATCAACATTGTGGCCAAGTGCAATGCCTGCATCTCCAGTCCATGCAAAAACAACGGGACGTGCAGCCAGGATCCTGTGGAGCGGTACCGCTGTGCCTGCCCCTATGGTTACAAGGTAGGGCCCAAGCCCCGTCCCCCACCTCACCACCCTTCCTGCCCCAGGTTCCTCCTTCAGTCCTGGCCCCAGGGATGTACACGCTAGCCAGCTGACCCACACTCTTGCTAGGGCAGCCTGGACACCTCCATTTAATAGGTCATTCATTCCAAAGTCACATTCACCAGTAATGGTCCTGTTCTCCCCAGAGCTGGTAGAGGCTGCCCTGCTATATTATGTGCATGCCAATCAAGGTGCATGCCAACCTCACCCACATAGTCTTGACAGAGAAGCTCTGAGATAACGAGGAAATATAATCTTTGTATTTTCTTTGGTTAACATGGGGAAATTGACTTGGAAATTGAGACCTAAAGAGATCCTCCAAGAGAGTCAAATGTGTTCCCAAGTAGAGGCATCTCTTAAACCTACTGTCCTGAATTTCCCTTCCGAGTGAATTTCCAGATCCTCCAACCCTGCCCTCAGATAGCCAGCCCTGAAATGTGCTAGATTAACACTAATAAGAGGGAGGGGGGCTGGATTAAGAGGCCTGGGGCACCAGGCCAACCTGCACTGCAAAACCAGTTACCATTGAATCCTCTCGGACTCGGTGACGCCATGTGTGTCAGAGTAGAACTGAGCTTCATAGGGCTTTCCATGACTGGTGTTTCAGAATTAGATTGCTAAGACTTTCTTATAAGTCACTTCTCTGGGTGGTCTTGAACATTTCCCCTTTCTGTTAACAGCTGAGCATGTTAAGTAGTGACCAGCCTGCACGGGGGTAGAACTCCTACTCTCCCATCTGTTTTTCCTAGAAATCGGGACTAATTCCAGAGCTAATTTTCCCTCTCTTCTCACTCAGCCCCACTGTATGCTAACTCCAATAGACCATGGACTATGGGTCAGGCATTCTGTTTGGCTTTTTATTTACCTTTCTTTTTAAACATTGCCAAAAGAGGTTAAGTCTCCTTAGTTCCCACGTTACAGGTGTGAAGACTGGGCCTCAGAGAGTTAGAAGAGCTTGACCCTGTCCCAAAGCTAGTAAGCAGTACGGTTGGGATTCCAAAGCTGAAGCCTTTTCCCTTGGGGGATCTCCTGGGTAGATGTGCCTCTTGCTTACCCTCAGTAAGTTTGCAAAGCTATGGTTGGATCATGTTTCCTAAACTTTTCCAGCTTCCCAGATCCCAGCCTTCCCAAGACACCAATTAGAATGCACTGGGCTTCAAGATGGCCTCAAGGCCCAACCAATGTGCACAACCCACAGCAGCCTGGAGCCCAGACCCGTTATAGGCACCCCCAGATCTTATGTGTTCAGAAGCTTCAGAGGCTCCCTCATTCCCTCACCAGGGACACAGGACTAGCTAGTGACTTTCTCAGCGGACAGTGTCAGAGTGCCACCTATGGGCCTGGGACAAGAGATCCAAAGGTTTCCCTTTGAAGCTAGCCAGCCATCCCTGCCCTAGGAAGTCACTTACAGGACCTCAAATTCACAGAGCCCCAAACCCATGAACACACACACACACTCATTTCTCTCTCTCTGTCTTTCATTCTCTTTCTCTCTCTTTTTCCCTCTCTCTTTCCTGACTATTAGTAGGGAAGCAAATAGATGAAGCAGCTATACTCAAAAGGCATGGGTCCTCTGAAACTCTCCTGTACTGATTCAGTGGAGTCAGTAGTAGAGAATTATACAGAGGCAAGTTTGGATCCCAGCTCTGCCGTGTATCAGCTACATGACAATGGCCAGGGAGGGACCTCACTTCAGCATTCCCAGAGGTAAAATGGGATAAGTAAACCTGTGTCCCAGAGTTGCTGTGAGAATGAAATGTACAATAATGTTTACAGGGAAGCTGGGACAGTACCTGACCTTAGCAAGCACTCAATAAACTAGCATTTGCTACCCTTGACTGTCTCCCTGGCATGCTGACCCCTAGTGTCAGCATGGGGTGGGCCATCAATAACAGGCGTGTGTTTCTGGGTTCTCCAGGGATTCTCTCTAACACTGTGCACTATTGAAGACAGCCAGTTATTCTCCTTAGAACCATAAACATGAGCATTTATAAGATTCCTAATTCCATAGATACAAGGGATTTGAAAAAGTTAGTTCACACTGTATTCACAAGATTCTGAGTATCTTGTAGACTTCAAAAGAATTAGAACAGAGATTTTGAGATTTAAGCCCCTGGAGCTTCATGGGTTGTGTGTTGGGCTGTTAGCCACAAGGTCAGCAGTTTGAATCTACCTGCTGTTCTGCAGGAGAAAAATGAGGCTTTCTGCTCCTGTAAAGATTTACGGCTTCGGAAACCCTATACAGTGTAGGGTTGCTATGAATCGGAACTGATTCAACATAACGCAGCTGCGAAGAAAGATCTGGTGATGTCCTATGGAGCAGCACTTTAATTCTAACTCATAGGATCACCATGAATAGGAACAGACTCATTGGCACCCTGTTTGGTTTTGGGGTTTTTTTGGAACTGTGCACTGAAAAGTGTACTAAACCAGATACATATCTTATTGACTTGTGATCACAACTCTAGCAGGCAGGTCCTAAAATGTTCCTCTTTTTACAGTTGAGGAAACAGAATAGTAGATGGTGGCGGTTGGTAGTTATATGCCGTGGAGTCGGTCCAGACTCATAGCAACCCTGCATAGGGTTTCTGAGTCTGTAAATCTTTTATGGGAGCAGAAAGCCTCATCTTTTTCCCTCTGGTAGTTTCAAACTGCTGACTTTGAAGTTAGCAGCCCAACACCACTGTGCTATCTATCAGAGCTCCTTTGTTTTTAACCTGTTGTTGTTAAGTGTTTTAACCTGTTGTTATAAACGTGTTTTAACTTGTTGTTGTTAAGTGTTTTAACCTGTGTTTTAACCTGTTGTTGTTAAGTGTCATCAAGTCAGTTCTAACCCTGTATAGGGTTTCCGAGGTGCAGCTGGTGAGCTTGAACCGCCAACCTTGCAGTTCAAATGGCTTTCTTTTTAACCTAGCAGATGGCAAAACTAACCAATCCTGGTGTTAGAGAGTCCTGTACAGCTATTTGCATGACCCCACCCAATCCTGGTGTGGTGCTGCGGGTTAATCCCGCGGACTACAAGGTCAGTTTGAACCTTAAGGTCAGAGGTTCAAACTCACCACTGCTCCTCAAAAACCCTATACAGGGTCACTAAGTCAGAACTGACTTGACAGCACTTAAGAACAACAACAATCCGATCATTTGGTGGTAGTTAGGAAGACCTTGTGTGTCACCATAGGATAAGCACTAAACCTCAAGGACAGTTTGAACTGTAAAGTCAGAGGTTCAAATTCACCAGCTGCTCCTTGGAAACCCTCTACAGGGTTGCTATGAATTGGAGCCAATTTTACCAGCACTTAACAACAAAAACAACAACAAAGACAACTTTGGATAGCAAAGCCATAGGAAGTAAATTCCTAGTACCACAGAGTCACTAACAGCATTTTTAGTAAATTTCCAGGGATTTCCAAATGAGTAACAAAGCCCCCCTGTCCTATCTCAAAAAGAGGCACCAAAGAGGGTCACCTGTTGGCTGTAATATTCCAATTTGTAGCAATCCTGTAGGATCGAGTTTCCAACACTGTGATCTTTACATAAACAAGCTGTTACACGTTTTTCCTGAGTAGCAGCTGCTAATCACTGGCCTTTCAGTTAGCAGCCAAATATTTAAGCACTGCACTACCAGTACTCTTTCTCCAGAAGGGGTTGTTGTTGTTAGGTGCCATTGAGTCAGTACAGATTCATAGCAACCCTACGCACCACAGAACGAATCACTGCACAGTCCTGCACCAACCTCACCATAATTGGCTATACCTAAGCATCACTGCTGCCACTATGCCAATCCATCTCATTGGGGGTCTTCCTCTTTTTCTCCCACCCTGCACTTTACCAAACATGATATCCTTCACCAGGGTGGTGGTTGTTGGGGCTAGAGTGTCAAGTCAAATCTGACTCTTAGCAACCCTGTAATGGGTTTCCAAGGAGTGACTGGTGATTTTGAACTGCTGACCTTGCAATTCAAACAGACCTTGCAGTCTAGTGCTTATCCTACAGTGCCACATCAGGAGGAGATGTTGTTCCTAATTCTCATAAAGCCATAAGTCCAGTCATGTCCTTCACACACACACACACACAGGGTGAGTGATGGGGAGGAGAGCTCAGAAGCATCATAAATCTGGATGATTTGAACAAAATGAGACTGAAGAAGTTGAATCAAGCTAATGGGCCAGGCATGAACAATGGTGGCTATTTCTCAAGGAGACGAAAGTGACAGAAATCCCCATCTCCAGCGCCAACTACCACATCGTCAGGCGCTGGCTCTACCTGTAGGATTTTAGTACTTGGCATTAAGGCGCGGAAATAGACAGTCCTCTCTCCTCCACCACCACCACCTCCATCATTGCAAGGCATTCAACTACAAGTCCCTGGACTTGAACCACCACACTTTCAGTTAGCAGCCAAGCCCATGAACCATTTGCACCACGCAGGGATTCCACTTAACTGTGTTTATGTGCTATCAAGTCAGTCCTACTCATAGCTACCCTGTGTAATGTTTCTGAGGAATGGCTGGTGGGTTTTAACTGCTGACCTTATGGTTAGCAGTCCAGTGCTTATCCTATAGCGCCACACCAGGATGCTCCCCAGTTAACTATGCAGAAAAGTAAAGCACTTTATAAGTTGTAAATACCAAGGCTCTGCAAGAGCTACTCTAGTTTACTCTGAGAGTAATTTCATCAAGTAGCTAAACTAGAGTTTGTATTCAGCTCTGCCTGCCTCCAGATTACCTGTGTTCTGAGAGGGTCAGAAGTGATTCCCATAGTGCTTCCCAGCACAGAGCCAGCCTGGGCCATCAGGGTGTGCAATCTTGGACAAATCTTCTCACTTGCCAAGTCTTCCTTTCCCTAGCTGTGAAAATGCAGAGAATCACGATTGTATGAGACTCACGGGGCTGTTGTGAGCATGATATGCCCTCATGAATATAAACCTCTTAGCGTGAGGTCTGGAATGGAAAATTTGCTCCATGAATGTTAGTGAGAATTAAGGTGGTGGTTTCCATTCCACATGCTGACTTTACAAAGGGAACCCCATATTGCTCTGGTTTAGGATAAACCCTGCCCCTTTCTTCTCTTCAAGAAACTCCCGATGGGCGTAATAACTGTGAGGGGCATAAGGAGAACCAGACAAGCATGACCCTTGCTTTGGGATGCTTAGAACCTGTGCCTGAGGCCCCCATATCTGAGGGCAGGGAGGAAGGTAGTCTGTAGCAAGAGCAGTGACTGGCTGTCTTGGGCCCAATGCCTGTAGATCACATGGGTAACGGCATCAGGTAGGAAGCCCAGTTCTGCCCCATCACAGGCATTGGCAGCAGCAGAGAAGGGAGGGGAATTTCTCAGGCAGATGGCGAGCAGGAGGCATGGCAGTGGGAGGACTCCAGTTATCACCCAGGCCTGCCATGGTGGCCAAGCTACTGAGCCACAGCTTAGAAACACATCCGGCAGACTCCTCCCTAGGCCCTGCCCTGGCAGGTCCTGCAGGGAACTGAATGTCAAGTCTGGGGTGCAGCCATGGTCACCAGAGAAGTGGGAGCCATGAGGACACAAGCTTGGAGGCTCCTTGGGACATTGGGTCTTAACACCCACAGTCTCCACTCCCTGACCTTGGGGTTCCTTCCCACTTCTACCACCTCAAAATGTCCCCTTCAGAAGGGCCTGTGTGGACCCCTCAGCCTAAAAGAACCCCACCCCAGCTAAAACATTCAATCATAGGAGCTCTCAACCTAGCCTAGCCTAGGACTCACCTGAAGAACGTTAGAGTAAACAGTAACACCAGGGAGCCAGTCTAGACCACACCACTTTACATGGAACAAGTTCTGCTGTCGACATTTCAGCCTGTAGCTGTGGATTATATTAAGCATTAGTGGAAATAATCATAATTACTAGCATTTATAGAATGCCTACTGTGTGTTAGCCAGCATCGTCTGTCAGTTTGGTAAAGTCAGTTTGGTCAGAGAAAAAGAGGAAGACCTCCAACGAGATGGATTGGCATAGTGGGAGCAACAATGGGCTCAAATGTGGCAAGGATTGTGAGATTGGTACAGGACTGGGCAGTGTTTCGTTCTGTTATACATAGGGACACTCTGAGTCGGTACCAACTTGATGGCACCTAAGAACAGCAACAGCACTGTGTGTTAGATGCATTACTTTATGTTAAGCACTTCCTTATGTAAAAGGTCTAAGTTGCTCTTCTTAGTAATTCTTTGAGGTCAGCTTGGTCTGGGTAAGAGGTCATCCAATCAGGAAGAGATGGAACAACAATGTGAAGACTGGTTTTCCTATACCCAAAGCCCATGCTCTTTCCCTGCAGCTTGAGACAGAGAGAAGGGTGTAAAATTCTGGGACGTAGTGATGTTGGAGCCCAGACTCCTGAGTTCTCAATATTCCTCTCCTTTTCTCTGCAGTACCAGAGGCAAAAGGGCTCCCTTTGACTTTGTCCAAGTCCCACAGCAGGCTTGTCCTAGGCAATCCTTGCACTATCCCCCTGGCTTCAGACAGAGATGCTGTGAGTCCCCAGGGCCTCCCACGTCATGACCCTAACCAGGTGTTTCTCCTGTTCTGGTCCTCAGGGCAAGGACTGCAGCATGCCCATCAACACCTGCATCCAGAACCCCTGCCAGTATGGAGGCACCTGCCACCTGAGCGAGAGCCACAAGGATGGCTTCAGGTAACAGCTCACCTCTGGGTCTTTTATCATCTTTGAGGGCTTCATTCACAGAGTCCTCAAGGCAGGCCATGAAGAAGCTTAGCTACATTACTGAGGGCCTAATTGTTGTCCTTTCTGTGAACGATTTCACGCACTACCAGGGAGGTACCAGGACACTTATTCTTCAGATAGTAATTGAAACATCCAGGTGATAAATGTTTTGCCCACAGCCCCACAGTTAGTAAGCACTGGTACACAGACTTGAATCCAGGCAGTCTGTCTCCAGAGCCAGGAGGACTCCAAGGGAGGTTCCAGTTATTCACTAAAAGTAGCAAAGCTTGACATGGTTTTCAGGTTATAAAGGAAAGAGGTAAAATAAAATTCTGTTGTTAGCTACCACTGAATTAGCCTATGACCCATGGCAACCCCTTGCACAATGGAAGAAAATACTACCCGATCCCAGGCCATCTCCATGATAAACCACACATTGAATTGGTGAGACGCATGGGGTTCTCCTTGGCTGACTTTCGGCCCTTTCTTTCTAGTCTGTCTTAATCTGGAAACTTCACTGAAACCTGTCTGGCATCGGAGCAACACCAGCCTCCACTGACGGACTGCTGGTGGTAGCTGCACATGAGGGACATTGACTGGGATCGAACCTGGGTTTCCCGCTTGGAAAACAACAATTCTACCACTGGACCACCAGTACCCCAATTAGACATCCATGTCCTATTAGTTGAGTTTTTAAAAATAAATAAAAATCCCAAATCAGAGCAGTCTCTGAAACAGAGGCCTGGAATTCCTGGTCTGAGCTGGAGTTCGCTTCTGAGGCAGTGGTGGTTCTATGGTAGAATTCTTGCTTTCCATGTATAGGGGTCAGTGGAGCTTCCAGACTAAGACAAACCAGAAAGAAGGGCCTGGTCATTGCCTTCTGAACACCGACCAATAAAAACCCTATGAATCACAATAGTTTGCTTCACAACTAATCACAGGGATGGCACATGACTGGGAAGCATATTTTTGGTTGTGCATGAGGTAGCCAGGATTCGGAACCAACTCAACAGCAGCTATTAACAAAAATATGCACCCTGATAAGTGTCTTACTTGTCTAATCTCATTTAATCCTCACAGTTACCCTGGGGATAGATAATAATGTCCCAGTCAACAGATAAGGAAACTGAGAACAGAAAATTGTAGTAACTTGCCCAAGGTCAAAGAGCTCAGAGGTGGCAGACCTGGGATTCATTCCCAGGAATCCCATTCCAGAGGCTCTGGTCATGGCCGCCACTCCACTCCCTCTAGAGGAAAAGGCTGCCTTGGAGTGATAAAGTCACACTGTGGGGATATCTCTTCTACTGTGCCTCTCTCTTTGTCTATAAAACAAATGACTACACCAGAGAAGCAGCAGCAGCAGAGATGATGGCATGGAGAGATAGAGCAGCTGTGGACTCTAGACTCATGGAAAGAAAAAGTCTGTGTGCTGGGAGCCAACAGGCAGGCTTGCAGAATGTGCCCTTTCGTTGTTTAAATGATTATATATCCTGAAGGTTTTGGTGTACATCCAAAAACAAAAAAACACAGAGGGATTGGAAGCAAATGTTGTTGAATGATGATACATGGAGAGGATTGTAATCGTTGCATGAAACGAAATACAATAGGATGAGTGTAAAACTGATGTTATCCCATGTAAACTAGCACTAAATTCACAATAAAACTAAAAACAAAAATAAAATAGAGAGAGAGACTACACCACAGATGAGCCAAGGGAAGGAAGGTTTGGAGGACAGCTGGAGAAATTTCAGTTACATCAGGGAAAACACTTTCAACAATGGGCATCGGGAAGCAGGCATTGCTGGGTGGAAATGGACCCTGGGGGGAAAGGCAGTCCTCCTGGGCCTGGGGAGATACCTATCATATTGCCTTTAAACAGGGGACTGGATAGAATGACTCCTAGGCTCCCAAGTATCTGAAGAGGTTAAGCATCTTTCTGCCCAGATGTTACACAGCTCACATTGCACAAAACTACCAAAGACCTTCTGCCCAGAGGCCACTTAACCTGGCTGCTGTGTGGTCTGTGACAGACTCAACTTTTAGACTTTTGGTTCTCCTTTTCAAGGAACTCAGCCCACCACATGTTATGAGAAACGTTGTCGATACCCTGGATACTGCCTCGGTCCCTCTTGGTTATGAAGTCACCAATGAGTTAACGTGAGTGCTTATCCACAAACACTCAAGAAATCCAATCTGTACTCATTTTAGCCAGAGGGAGATTTTTTTTATTCAATTTTGCAAAATCGTGTGCCCAATCAAGAAGACCGGGCAGACACACTGTGCAGTCGTTTTGTAAAGCATTTGATTCTCCTAGGTCGAGAAAGTCCCTCCACCAGTTCCTCATTTACTGAGTACTATGGGGTTAACCACTACAAGAGGGGCTCTGGTAGCGTAGTGGTTACAAATCGGGCTGCGAACCTTAAGGTCAGCAGTTCAAAACTACCAGCCGCTTCTCAGGAGAAAGATGAGACTTTCTACTCCCGTCAAGATTTACAGCCTTGGAAAACCTGTACAGGGTCGCTATGGGTTGGAATCGACTCGACAGCACTTAACAACAACAACATGGGGTTAACACTCTTTCCCAGACATAGCCTACTTTTCTTATTTAAAGTTCTTAGTCATTAACAGGTTCTTTCCCCCTCCCCTAATTCATCCCACTCTCATACCCCAGATGCATAGGCCACTGTTGCTATGTGAATCAATAATCTATGGCTGATCTAGCAATTTCCTGGTGGTGGTTGTTATGTGCCATGGAGTCGGTTGTGACTCATAGCGACCCTGTACAGAGTTTCCGAGGCTGTAAATCTTTACAGGAACAAAAGCCTCATCTTTCTCCCACAGAACAGCTGGTAGTTTCAAACTGCTGACCCTAAGGCTCGCAGCCTGAAGCAACTTCCTGGAGCCCCCTTCCTCCTGAAGATGGACCATCTTGAGAATTTAGTTCTCACAGTGTCCAAATGTGCTGCTCTCTACCTTCTTCCAGAAAAGAAACCTAACTGTATCTCTCTCCCTTCTTCTTCTGTCATTCCTACCCAACCCGACACCTGACTCCCCTCCTCCCAAACCCTACCTCCCCAAAGCTGCTCCTGCCCCCTGGGCTTTGAGGGTCAGCGGTGTGAGATCAACCCAGATGACTGTGAGGACAATGACTGCGAGAACAATGCCACCTGTGTGGATGGCATCAATAACTACGCATGTGTCTGCCCACCTAACTACACGGGTAAGAGCCCTGTGGCACGTGTGGGAGTGTGTTTGTGTGTGCATGCATGCAACTGAGCGGGAGTATAAGGTACAAGGAGAGCATCATTTTCCTAGCTTCTCCCTGAGGACAGAGAATGGATATGCCCTGGCCATGTGCTCCAGCCCACCCTCCAGCTAATCCTAGCCTCTTTGAGACCGCCTCAGGGTACATTCAGCTGATGGCCAGCCCCTCCTGTGGGGGCCCTAGAGATCCACGTTGGCAGAAAGGGACTCACCTTAAGTTTATGATTCCTTCTGGTCTAGTCAGCCTTCTCTGGAAATCGACATTTTCCAGATACTCTGCAGGAGAGGAGGATATGAAAGTAGGCCATAAAAAACTTTTCTCTGATATGAAGTGCATCGTCAAACAGAGAGAGCCATGTATTCAATTTAATAAGAATGTAATATATGTAAACCCGTGGGGCTATAGAATCACAGAGGTGGAAACTAACCCCATCTGGGATTTCAGGAAATGCTTCCCACAGGGGATTATTCCTTCAGGATAATCATTCTTCCCAGCCACCCCCCAAACACAGAGACTTTATTTCCTATGTTGTTGCTGTTGACTGTTGAGTAGTGCCATCGAGTCAATTCTGACTCTTAGCAACCCTGTATAGGGTTTCCAAGATGTGGCTGGTGGATTTGAACCACTTACCTTGCAGTTTAAACCAACCTTGCAGTCCAAGGCTTATCCTATAGTGCCAACATCAAGATTCCATTTATTTCCTATATTGTTGTTTTTGAGTGCCTTCTCATCCGTTCTGACTCATAGCAACCCTATATAGGGTTTCTCAAGGAACTACTAGTGGGTTTGAATCCTCAACCTTTGGTTAACTGTCCAGTGCTGACCCTATAGGACCACAGCAGGGCAGGACTCCTTTCCTATGTTCTCATTGTTCAGTGTTGGTCGAGTTGGTTCAGACTCAGAGCAACCCTGTATAGGGCTTCAGAGTTTTGAACCATGACCTTGCAGTACAAACAGATTTTGCAGGGCAGTGACTATCCTAGAGTGCCACACCGGGACTCATTTCCTATGTTCATAACCCATAAATGGGGGCAGTTAAATACATCATTAGATTGAAAAGCAAAATGCCACCAAGTACTACAAACACAGCCTGCTTCGTTGTAGGATCAACCTAACGTGGCATAGCCCAGGTTGGAATCCCATAAAAACTCAGCCCTATGAATTCTTCAAGGAAAAGGCTCCATGGGCAAATGAGTTTGAGAAACGCTGCATGTAATAATAATAACCTTCTCCAAGATACACATTAGCATACTAAAGCTCTGCCATAAAGAAAACTGTTTAACTCAGCAGTTCCCAAATGCATTTGATTCTAGAGCTGTTTGTTTTGTTTTGTTTAAATCCCCCTGGAATGCCATTACCAACCAGAGGTCTTATGCCAAGGAACGATATTGTAGGAAATATCACCCTAAGGCAAGAATGAAAATAAGGATGGAGCAACCCCGGAGCTCCCATGCCCTTGCCTTTTGGGACCTTGCTTTGATGTCTAGAGTGAGGAGGGAGGAGAAAGGGCACCGAAGATGAATAGGAGCAGGGCTGAGACAGAGAAGGAAGTCAACTAACTCCCATTGCCCCTCAGGTCTGTCTTCATCAAGCATTCAACCCAACAGCCAGGTCCTCAAGCATACCCTGGGGACTGCTAGAGTGTGCTCAGGCTAACTGAGAAACCTATCTATTCTGCTTCACACTGGGCCTCTGGACCCCACATAAAGCATTTGTGCATTGAGAAGGCACGTGGGAATTCCACTGAAGGTCTACATCCATTGTATATCTTCCATCTTTCGAGGGTAAAGAAATCACCAAGAGTTGAATTAACAATAGTCAACTCTTACCCTGCGCCTACCAGATGCAGAGTACTGAATTAGCCACTAGAGATGTAAAGTTTAAGGTACGTACCCTCAGCTTGCTAGGATCTTCTCATCTATTTAAGAATATCATTGCTGATGTCAGATGGATCTTGGTTGAAAGCAGAGAATACCGAAAAGATGTTTACTTATGCTTTATTGACTATGCAAAGGCTTTCAACTGTATAGATCATGACATGACAAGCTATGAATAACATTGTGAAGAATAGGTATTCCTGAACACTCATTTAATTGTGTTCATGAGAAACCTGTACATAGACCAAGAGACAGTTGTTCGAACAGAACGAGGCAGCAGCAATGGGCTCAAATATAACAACAGTTGTGAAGATGGAGATGGGACAGGACCAAGCAGTGTTTAATTCTGGTTTTCTACCATCTTCCTTATTCACTGTCCAACTTTCACATGCATATGAGGCTATTGCAAATACCACAGCTTGGGTCAGGTACACCTTAATCATCAATGAGCTGGACCGATTCAACGGCATCTAACAATAACCTAAGAAAGGTACACCCTCAGCTCACTAGGGTCTTCTAAGAAGCTCTGGTAGCATAGTGGTATGAATCGGGCTGTGAACCTTAAGGTCAGCAGTTCAAAACTACCAGCCGCTCCACAGGAGAAAGATGAGGCTTTCTGCTCCCATAAAGATTGACAGCCTGGGAAACCCTGTACAGGGTCGCTGTGGGTCAGAACCAACTCTACGGCACTTAAGAACAACAACTAGAGTCTTCTGATCTATTGCAAATAAGATCATTCCTTGTACATAGTTGAATCATTGGTCCCCAAGAATCAGAGCCAGAAGAGAAATGGTAAAAATCCCAGCAGTTAAGGAAAAGGAGAGAACAAAGAGGGTTAGAATCAGCTTTGTGGCAAAGGAGAGGCTTGAATGGAATTTTCAGTAGGAGAGGGTTGCTGACCAGTGAGGGCTTCCTGCCCCCAAGTACAGCACTGCCTGGTATTTGCAGATGACTAGGAGCTCTGGTAGCGTAGTGGTTACGAATCGGGCTGCGAACCTTAAGGTCAGCGGTTCGAAACTACCAGCCGCTCCGCGGGAGAAAGATGAGGCTTTCTACTCCCGTAAAGATTTACACCCTCGGAAACCCCTGTACAGGGTCGCTATGGGTCGGAACCGACTCGACGGCACTTAACAACAACAACAGGAGCACTTAGGATTTCAGAATGAGAAACTTTGTTCCTGAGAATGGGGCATATCATAATTCAAATGGGTCCATTTTTCTGCCATCTTCCTTATTCACTGTCCAACTTTCACATGCATATAAGGCTATTGAAAATAGCACGGCTTGGGTCAGGTACACCTTAGTCCTCAGACTGATATCTTTGCTCTGTAAACAGAGTTCTTGTGCAGCAGCTTTGCCCAATGCAATATGTTGTTTGACATCCCAAGGCCCACAAGGACACTAGACTTCCTCTCTGGGTCTATCAGGATGGAGGAGTAGGAGACTTAAAAGAACACAGTGCTCCCTTGGTCTTGGAGAGGCTGCCAGGTCAGGGCAGGGGTGGGTAGGGATGTGGAGAGGAGGGGTTTATGGTTGCCTCCCAAGATGGGCTAGGGGCCAGCTTATGGCCAAACCAGCTGAGAGCAGAGTCTCTTCAGTGTCTGTTGTGTAAGTCCAGTTGGCGCAGGTACCCCTCTGCTTTGTCCCCTGGGAGCAGCAGTTCAGGCGTCCTTGTCCTGCCCCTGCTACCACCCTCACCCTGCCAGTGCCCAGCAAGAGAACTCCCAGGGGCAGGCATTTTCCTCCCCAGGTCACATACTCGGGTTCTACCTCTGACCTTAAAATCTGGCATTAGTCAGAGAGCTGCTGTTTTGTCTCACCCCGTGCATTACTAAAACACATATTCAGGTGGTATGTGCTTTTCAGTGCTTATGGGCACAGGCACTGCAGGATAATGCACTGGATCACATGGTCGGTGGTTCAAACTCACCAGCTGCTTGTTGGAAACCTATCCAGGGCTGCTATGAGTCAGAACTGATTCAACGACACTTAACAACAGCAGGTACTTTGTGGCACTAGGAACTTCAAATGAAATGTATCCACAGATCAGGACTTCACGTTCTTTACATCTTTGCTTCCCTGACAAAATCTAATGGGCTCACTTATCTATAATAGGTGGATGCTGCTGCTAAGACATATCATCTCCTCCAGGAAGCCTTCCCTGACCACCTTGGCAGAGTTATGGGTCCCCTTTATGCTTCCTGTCTTCACTTAGAGCTGTGTTGTAATTGTCTACATATCTATAGATGTCCCTCATAAGGCAGGGGGGAGGACAGGATTGAGTCACGGTAGTGTCCCCAGCACATGGCACAGTGTCTGCCACACAGGATGTGATCAATGAATGGGTATGGAATGAAAAACAAACATGCATAGACCCAGGGTGGGGTCTGGCATCCTGTGGTTTCAGCTGCAGCAGCCCCTGGATAATCACATAGCCAGTGGTGCGTAACAGTGGGTACCCAGGGAAGGAGCTGGGGTCTTCCCATTGCCACTGCTAGTGAAATGAAGGCAGAGGTACAGAAGAAAGGAGACACTGAGAGAGAGAACTCAAGATTTCTGATCTCCATGATCTCCTGACCGGGGTCAGAATGAGGCCTGAGCTCTCAACCCCACTCCTCCTACCAGGTGAACTGTGTGACGAAGTGGTCGACCACTGTGTGCCCGAGCTGAACCTCTGTCAGCATGAGGCCAAGTGCATCTCCCTGGACAAAGGATTCAGGTAAGACTCAGCTTCATGGTTTCACTCCTCAGCACACAGATCCCAAGAACTCTGCCTGCACCAGTGTAAGTTTGAGGAAGAGGCGTTGGGCCTGTGTGTCCATCTGTCTTTCTCTGTCTCTCTCTCCATATATCTCCTTTCCAGAGCTAGAAAGATAGAACCATCTAGAGTCCCAAACTGGTCACTTTTCACTTGTACAGCCTTCTCAGGGTCCCTCGCACTGTGGCTGCACCAAGTTGGCCACTGTGTTTACCTCGTGGTGGGGAGACCTGCTGGCATGGGAAGAGTGGGCTCTGACTGTTCAGCAGCCACAGCCATTAGTGGGGGTGTCTCCATGGCAAGCACCTGAGCCAGTAGGAGCTAGGGGAGCACACAGAGCAATTCCAAGGATGAATGTGAGAATGCCTTAGGGAGAAGGTCATGTCAATTGTTGAGCCTGAGAGTCAAATCATGCCCTTGGGAAATCCCTCTTGGACTCTGCCTCTACCCCTTCTCCCTCCACTCTCTTTCATGGAGGAAATCCCAAGACACTCAAGACCTGGGATTGTTCTGACATTAATGGGAACAGTCTAGAGCCTTGTGGTCAACAATGATGTCTCAAACTCAGCCATAAACACTGCTGTCTCCCTCTCCTGCCCCAGCAGTTCTGCCCAACACTGAAGGGAAGTCTCTAGCACCAAGGAGTCAGGGATTGGGGGGGAGCAGAGACCAGAACTGGTGGTGGGGCGGGGGGCCAAGAGTGATCCTCAACAATGATACCTAAAATAACCCTACAGAGCCACCCCCTAGAGAGGAGGCACCTGGATCTGGCCTATGCTAATGAGTCTTTAAGAAAAATCCTGACACCTTTGGCCCAGCTTTTGGTGGAATTGAAATCCATGCTGTAGATCTCTATAACATGTAGTTTTCATTAAAAGGCAGAGTTCCCAGACTCTGGAGCTTTTGAGAGCATGATAATATGTTGTTAAATATTAGGATTTCATAGAAACTCTATCCAAAAACATATACAGTTGTTTTTGAGTTGATGCCAACTCATGACAACCCCGTGTTTGTCAGTCGAACTGTACTCCATAGAGTTTTCAGTGACTGACTCATCAGTAGATGGCCAAGACTTTCTTTTGAGGTGCCTCCAGGTAAGCTGGAACTGCCAACCTTTCAGATGGCAGCTGAGTGCTTACCCATTTGCAATACCCAGATTCTGTTATTTTTATGATTTCACTAGACTTTAGGATCTGTGAAAGTATTAGACTAAAGAAATCATAAAAGTCACAAAACGTTAGGGACTTTGAACTGTGGAATCTTGTTGTTCAGTGCCATCGAGTTGATTCCAACCCATAGCGACCCTGTTTAGGGTGTTCGAGGAGCAGCTGGTGTGCTTGAACCACCAACCTTGCAGTTCAGGTGGCTTTGCAGTCTGGTGCATTAACCCTTCTTCTCTCAGCACCACACCAGGGCTCCTAGAGTCATGGAATCTCAGAAACTTGAACTTGTGAACTTTTAGAAGCTCAGAATCTTAGAATAAGAATGTTAAGAATCTTAGACTCTAAAACCCCTCTCCCCCATCGGTCTACAAATGCCCATTGTTCTGGGTGCTATGGGGACTGTAGGAGGTCTGTTATTTCTCCCCTTAAGGCCCTTGCTATGAATCTGGGAGAGGAAAACTTGACACAAAGCAAACATTGAGAAAAGAGGGACTTTCTGGGTCCCCTGCTTTGGCTCTGAGTGCTTCTGGCTCAGGAGACGTGCTGGAGCAGAGCAGGGGAAGACCACCTTGGAGGTGGGATGTGAGGCGAGTTCAAAGGGTGAGTGGAAAGTGGACGGGCTGAGAGAAGAAGGGAGAGCCTCACAGGTGGGGAGAAGAGCATTAGTAAGTGTTGTTGTTGTTGTTGTTATGTGCTGTGGAGTCGGTTCCAACTCATAGCGACCCTGCATAGGGTTTCCAAGGCTGTAAATCTTTATGGGAGCAGAAAGCCTCAACTTTCTCCCACAGAACAGCTGGTAGTTTCGAACTGTTGACCTTGTGGCTCGCAGCCCGATGCATAACCACTACGCTACCAGAGCTCCTTTACCAGAGTCTGAATTAGGTAGGGTGTACAAGGGGTGCGAATTTGACTTTGCTTTTTCCAAGCCTAGAGCTCATCACCAGGGAAAATGCAGGTGATATGTTAAGGTCTCTGGTTTTGTTGAAAGCAAAGGAAGTATACCATCTGTCCATACATGCACACACTCCTTTCAAATCCACCTTATCTGTCCCCCTCTGAGATATGCCAGGTGGGACTTTAAGGTAGCTGAGTTCTAAGGATGCCTCCTGGAACCCCCTCCACATCTACTTTTATCCTCCCAAAAAAGGGAAGGGGTGAGTAGGGGGCTGATCAGGCTCCTTTGCCTCATAAGTATTCAGAGCTTCCTTCTCCACCTGGGCCCCAGACCACCTTCTTGATTAGGGTAGCATGTGGTGATGATTTGGGCTCTGCACAATAGAATTCAGCTGCTAGGTCCAGAAAAGGGTGCAGGTCTTGCAGGAGGCAGAATATCCAGCAAGAACGTATATTTGCCTATGCAATGGTGTGTCGGAACCCTTTGGAGGAATTTGGTACACTCAGAATTTCTGTGCTGGGATTTCTACACAGGGTCATCACAGGCAGAGGAGCCCAGAGATGCATAGTCCACATCAGGGAGGCCACATTTCAGCTGGAGCAGATTTTTCTAATGAGATCTGAAACCTCAGCTAACAGACCTGGTGATGGAGCTGCTGATCAGAGGCAGAATCCAAGTACAGGGCTGAGTTGAGCAGACACTCCCACCCTCTTGTCTGGGGAACATCAATGTTTATAAATAAACAGCATGAATTCAAGGGGAGTGCTTGGTAGTGACCGTCATCATCATGGGCAAGACTCCTCATTACCATCTTGAACTTCTCGTATTGACTCTTTCACTCTGTGCTTATTCAGTACTTCCCTAGATTCTCATTTCATTTTTTTCTCTCATGAGGCTTTTGATTATTGTTTTAACGTGCTGAAGATATAACAAGAGCTTATGCCATGTCAACATCTTTCATATGTGCAATGCAGCAACGTTGGTCACATTCATCATGCTGTGCACCCCACCACCACCACCACTGTCTGTTTCCAAATCATCTCACCACATTCATGGAAACCCCCTCAGCAAAGACTCCTCTTCCCCTCCTTCTTCCCACCTCCAGGTACCCACTAATAAACTTTGGTTTCTATACATTTACCTATTTCAAATAAGTGAGATCCTACCATATTTACCCTTTGTGCCTGACATGGTTTAATAGGTGGGGTGTTTCCAAGTTTTATCCTCATGGTGGTATACCTCAGGACTCCATCTTGCTTTACGGCCGAGTGATAGTCTGTTGTTGGTATATACCACACTGCTTACGTAGTCATCCGTTGGTGGGCATTTAGCTTGTTTTTAGCTTTTGGCTGTTGTGAATAGGACTGCCCTGAACACTGGTGTACACTTTTTTGTGTGTTCTTGCTTTCAGTTCTTTGGGTGTATACCTACAATTGGAATTATTGGGTTATGGTAGCTTGCTGTTTAAGTTTGACAGGAATTAAAATTTAATTTTTAAAGCAAACAAGAGGTGACATTATTACTGAGTAGATGGTTTATTTCCAAAAGTGTTTGACACAGTAAGTGTAAACTGAATGTTAATATTGTGAAGGGTCCTTGTGGAGGTTCCTTCAGCTGGTCTCTTCCTCTTATGGAGGACAATAAACTCTCCCTTCCAGGCCCCAATGAGACACTCAAGTTCCTTACCCCAGGTCCCTGCACAAAGGAAGTACTAAAAACACAAAAACAACAAACCGACTGCCATCAAGTCAATTCCAACTCATTAGTGACCCCATGAGACAGAGTAAAACTGTGCTGTATGGTTTCTGAGCTTAGCACTTTGAACCACTGGTTAGCAGCCGATGTTTAACCTACTGCACCACCAGGGGGCTCTAAACTGAAAGTTAATTCTGTGATTCCAACTCTGCCCTCTTCAGCCTGGCTCCTGAAAACGAGATCCACTCCCCATTGAAGCAGACAATCATACACTTGCAAGCAACAAAGTCTGCGCAGAGCACCCTTGATAGCTAAAGTGGAGCCAGGCTTTGTGGAGCCTGGGAGAGTCAAGGGGAGCTGTAAGGAACTTGGGTAGATAGAAGCGAGAGGGAGAGGCTGCCTGAGAAGAGCAGCCACTGGGATGCTCACCAGACCCATGGAACAGCTTTGTTCTGCCTGCGTTACAGGTGTGAATGTCCCCCTGGCTACAGCGGGAAGCTCTGCGAGACAGACAACGATGACTGCGTGGCCCATAAGTGCCGTCACGGGGCCCAGTGTGTGGATGCGGTCAATGGCTACACCTGCACATGCCCACAGGGCTTCAGGTATGATGGAGCATCACCACAGGGAGGAGAGAGCTGGGCCAGACAAGACGGCATGGGGACAGGTTGGCCCAACTCTCTGTGGTCCTGTTAATTCCCTCCACCTTCTTTGACTTTTTCAAGTCCCAAGAGGAATATAGAGCTGACATTATTAATCTGATTTGTAACCCCATGTGGAAGTTAGACATAATGTTCATGTTCCAGCGCACATAATGTCAAACTTGGACATGATTCTTCAGCAGAAGATGCTACCATCTTGGAGCCCAGCCATGTAGCTACAGGGGTAAGATAGCCACATAGCTAGTGTCAGGAATAGTCTTTCTAGGCTTGAGAGGAAACCTAGTATAGTGCCCAATGGCAGAAAATGAAGATGAATGGGGTATTGGGGGCCAGTCTGTAGAATCATGAAGTTGGGAAGAGAAAGGAGAGATGAGAGGCACTGGCCAAGGGCCCAGGAGTTGTCCGTGGAGAATGGTAGAGCCTGGGTTCCAATTCTAGTTCCCATACTGATGGTCAAGGAGAGTAAGAAGGTGGAGATGACCAGGGGCCACACTTAAGACTGGGGGACATTCCAGTCTATATCAGTACCCACTAGATGATATAAATACAGATCTAGAGTCATAAATGAGTAACGTGCAACCTTGTCTTGTCCTGGGTACCAAGAATATGAATCTAGAAGGAACCCTGGGGCTCACAGACCAGGGTTTCCCCAGGCGCCATTTAGACCTTTGTTTCAGAAATTTGTAAAAATGTGCATTTCCAAGACCCTCCCCAAAGCTAGTAAATTTGAATTGGAGGGTTGGAGAAGGGGCTAGGAATCTGTATTTTGAGCAGTGGACTGTGGTGACATGGATTCGGGGAACCTGTGCTCTAGTCTACCTTACCATTTTATAAATGGGGGGCAGGGGAGGAGTGCAGGGACTTTCTGGCCAGTTCTCTGACTTTGGGGTTTTGAGAGTACGGTGTTGCTGTGGTTATTAAGTATCACGGAGTCCATTCTGGCTCATAGCAACCCTATACAGGGTTTCCAAGGCTTTAAATTTCCACGGGAGCAGAAAGCTTCATCTTTCTCCCGTAGAATGGCTGGCAGGCTCTAACCATGGACCTTGTGGTTTGTAGCCCTGTGCTTATTGTATGGAGCCACTGCACTCCCTGAGAGTATGATCATATGTTACAAATAATTAGGATTTCATAAAAGCACCACCCTCAAAATAAAGAGAGTGGCTGTTGAGTAAATTCTGACTCACAGAGCAACCCCATGTGTATAGGCACCTCTGGATGGGTTCTGACCACCAGCCTTTCAGTTAGTAGTCAACCCATTAACCGTTTGCAACATCCTGAGACAACATATATGACAATGTTCTGCTGTTGTTCATAAGGCTTAAAGGAGGACTTGACCCCGTTAGAGGTGGAGCTGGGACTGGGTCTCTGAGTTCCCATCTTGCCCTGCTGTCTGCTAGGGGATCTGTAGCTGAAATAACTGTGATTGTCTGGTCTTGTGCCTTTCTCTCCCTCCCACCCCAACTCCCTCCACCCTCCTCCTCCACCCTCCTTCCAGCGGGCTCTTCTGTGAGCAACCCCCACCCATGGTCCTGCTGCAGACAAGTCCCTGTGACCAGTACGAGTGCCAGAACGGAGCGCAGTGCATTGTGGTGCAGCAGGAGCCCACCTGCCGCTGCCTGCCGGGCTTCGCTGGGCCCCGGTGTGAGAAGCTGATCACTGTCAACTTTGTGGGCAAGGACTCCTATGTGGAACTGGCCTCCGCCAAGGTCCGGCCCCAGGCCAACATCTCCCTGCAGGTGCGCCCCCACCCTACCCCACCCTGCCCTGGTATGGACCCAACCTGCCCACGTGCTCTCACGGCTCAGACAACAGCTGACATGCCTGGAGCATAGCATCCTCCCCTCCCCTTAAGCATCACAGGATGTCTTGGATCTCTAGTGCAGCTATAACAAATACCACCAGTGGCTGGCTTTAGTAAACTGAAATTCATTCTCTCACAGTTCGGGAAGCTAGATGTTCGAATTCAGGGTACCAACTCCAAGGAAAGGGTTTCTCTCTGACAGCTCTGAGGGTGGTCCTAGTCATTAATCTTACCTCTCAGGAGGCTTTCAACAGAGGGACACCGGGGCCAAAGGACATGCTCCACCCCTTGCTCTTCTGTCTTGCTGTAAGGCCCTCCTCTGCTCATTTCTCTCTCCTTTCATCTCTGACAAATAAAAGTGATGCAAGCCACACCCAGGGACACTCCCCTTACATCTGACCAGGATTGTTAAGTGAGTTAGGGTGTTGTACCCCTGCCTAATCCTCTTACCTGATTGGCTGATATCAGATCATATCATGAGGAGGATTGCATCATTATAGAACTATCAAATTACATTCTTATGAACTGTCAGACAACTAAAAATCATGGTTCAACCAAGTTTACACATATTTTAGTGGTGGTGGTGGTTATGTGCCATGGAGTCAGTTCCGACTCATAGCGACCCTGTACATGGTTTCTGAGGCTGTAAATCTTTACAGGAGCAGAAAGCTTCATCTTTCTCCTGCAGAACAGCTGGTAGTTTCGAACTACTGACCCTGAGATTAGCAGCCCGATTCATAACCATTACACTACCAGAGCTCCCTGACACATACTTTAGGGGGACACAATTCAATTCATGACAAAGGACAACACTCAGTCGTGGGGAATCTGGGCCAGCTCTGTCCAAAGGAGGCTAGAAACCATTACTAACCAGCTGTTACTGCAAACAGCAGCCTCCACTTCCAGCCTCATTCATCCATTCCTCTAGAAAATATTTGCTCAACTTCTGTATGTCAGACGTAGTGCTCAGCAGTAGGGGTGCCATGGTGGAACACGACACAGCCACTTGTCCACGGCAGAATGAGAAGGAGACAGTGTCATTGGTGGGTGCTGTGGGAATATACAGAAGAGGTAATAGTAATCCCAGACTGTTGGGAAGACTCAGAGAAATCTTTCCAGAGCTCATATCTAAGCTGGGATCTGAAGGATGAGGAGGCGTTTGCCTGATAAAGGGTTAACAGACAGGGTGAAGGATGGAGGGGGTGAGATGAGGCCAAGCTTGAGGGGGTCCGCCTGTGCAGAGGCCCAGAGGCACAAGCAATCATGACATTTTCAGGGACTGGAAAACCATTTCATATGAGCCCAGTTCTTCTCAGACTAATTCCTTTTAGGCTCTTCACATGTAGACATGAGCACATTTATTTCAAACTGCATTTCTGCAGGAGCTAAATGCTGTCCCATGGGGCTGATCACAGAGAGGTTGTGATAAAGAAGGAACAGGCCCTACCTATAGGCTTGCTAATGAGCTCTGGTAGTTCTGTGGGTTAGACGTTGGGTTGCTAACAGCAAGGTCAGTGGTTCAAACCCCACTAGTCACTCATCAGGAGAAAAATGAGACCCGTCTGTGCCCATGAAGATTTATAGTCTCAGAATCCTTATGTAGGGTCATTATGAGTCAGAATCAACTTGATGGCAGTGGGTTTTGCTTTGGATTACTCCATGCAAAGAATGGAGAACTACACTAAAAATAATGGTCACCAAGACAGATAAAAAGGCCCTACAACCCTGGTGTAGCTTATAGACTAGGGATGAAGATAGGAATTAAACAAATAACGCTACCTGCCATTGTTTAAGTCTGGTTGTGCTGGGAAATGATGAGGTGCTGATAGAATTACTAATAGCATTAGGGGGCAAGAAGGTATCTAACCTAGTCTGGGAAGGTGTACAGGAGAAAGTGATATTTAAGCCCAGACTTGCAGTGTGAGTAGGCCTTGGCTCACAGAGGCCAAATAAGTAGTTCCCACCTGAGTTTCTAGCCTTGTCTCTAATCACTCCCCCCACACACAAACACAGCTACTTTAACCCATTGCTGTTGAGTCTATTTTGACTCATGACAACCTTGTGTGTCAGAGTAGAACTCTGCTGTGTAGGGTTTTCAACGGCTGATTTTTTTACAACTCGATCTCCAGACCTTTCTTCTAAGGTGCCTCTGAGCGGATTTGAATCTCCAGCCTGTTGATTAGTTGTTGTTGTTGTTGTTATGTGCTGTCGAGTCGGTTCCGACCCATAGCGACCCTGCACAGGGTTTCCGAGGGTGTAAATCTTTACAGGAATAGAATGCCTTTACGGGAGTAGTAGCTGAGCACATTAACCATTTACACCACCTAAGGTCAGCGGTTCAAACCCACCAGCTGCTCCTCAGAAATCCTATACAGCGTTGCTATGAGTCAGAACCAACTTGAAAGCACTTAACAAGTATCCTTATGCATACCTTAAGCACAAACCCATTGGCCATCCAGTGAATTCTCACTTCTAGTGACCCTACAGGACAGAGTAGAACTGCCTCTTAGGGTTTCCAAGGCTGGAATTTTTACAGAAGCAGACAGCCCTGTCTCTCTCACACACATAACAGCTGGTGGGTTGAAACCACGGCTTTCCAGTTAGCAGTGAGTGATACACACACTTACCCACCTCCAAACTTTGGTTTATGCTGTTGCCTCTGTGGAAAGACTCCCTGCTCCATCTCTCATTCTCTTGCTACCAAGGAATTTTCTTCTTTCAAAACCTCAGTCAAATCACCTATCTCCTCTTTAAAGTGATCCAGAAACCGACTATGTACACATGCACTGAAGCAGAATTACTGGATTCCCCTCCCAAGTCCATCTAGTCTAGAACATTATGCTTCATCTGTTTGCATTCCAATCGCCTACTGTGGTGTTATTTCTTTCTCTACGTGGCTCTGCTGCTATTCTGGGAGCTCTGGAAGCCACAACTCCGTTGATCTCTCTATTCCCAGTGCCGAGCACACAGTTGTTGTTGTGATGTGCCGTGGAGTCGGTTCCGACCCATAGCGACCCTGTACAGGGTTTCCGAGGCTGTAAATCTTTATGGGAGCAGAAAGCCTCATCTTTCTCTCACGGAACAGCTGGTAGTTTCTAACTGATTCGTAACCACTACACTACCAGAGTATCTACTCAATAAATGGTTGAAATGAATGAGTGATGGGATAAACAGATTAAGTCCTGATTAAAACTAATGATGAATAAATTTCAATCTAGGAGGACCTGGCACACAGAAGCACTGGGAGCTGCCTGTTGAATGAACTGATAAACAAATGAACAATTAGGACAGGGTATGAGATATGGAGTCCTGGTGTGGCACTGTGGGTTAATGCACCAGACGGCAAAGCTGCTTGAACTGCAAGGTTGGCGGTTCAAGTTCACCAGCTGCTCTTCAGAAACCCTATACAGGGTCGCTATGGGTTGGAACCAAAGTGACCGCACTTAACAACAAATGAAATACATAGGCTCATCGTGGTGGTGGTTGTGTGTCTTCAAGTTGGTTCCAACTCACAGCATCCCTATATAGGGTTTCCAAGGTTGTGGATCTCTATGAGACAGTTTCATTTTTCTCCCATGGAGTGGTGGGTGGATTTGAACTGCTAACCTTGTGTTTTGCAGCCCTACCCACTATGCCACCAGAACTCCTTATATAGGCACATTGCAGCACATAATTCATGCTGAAGAATATGTGTTCAGTTGCTCAATCAGTATTTTGCCTGCCCTCTGGGAACATGCAGACTAGATGGAAGAGGAAATGTGGATAGAATTCAGATAAGAATGGGTTCAGGAGTTACCACCTGGAAGAGGGCTTTGTGATGGGGCGTGGTGAGGTTAGCCCAGAAGTGAGTCTACCCACGTGCTCTCTGGCTAATCTCTGCAGGTGGCCACTGACAAGGACAATGGCATCCTTCTCTACAAGGGAGACAATGACCCCCTGGCACTGGAACTGTACCAGGGTCACGTGAGGCTGGTCTATGACAGCATGAGCTCCCCGCCAACCACGGTATACAGGTAAGGACACTGCACCCACGCCGGGCTCTGCTGCTGCCTCTCCCCTCACCCACACTCTCTCCTGGCACAGAGTGAGGGTCAGTATGGGAGGACTTGGTAAAAGAGGAAGGCAGGCCCACACAGAGAGATGACACCTCATTACCATAAGATAAATGGCCAGCTGGCTACTTTGCACCAAGCAGGGTGCTCCAATGGGGACAAGGCTGCTAATGAGATGCCCTTTTCAAAATGTCATCCTAATCTTTTATTAGTTTAAGAAAGAAAACAGGAGGAGATGAGCATGAGACGCCAGGGGAAGAAATGCAAGAGCATTAAGGAAGCAGGCTGACTCCTTAGTGACTTTCTAACTCTACTCAAGGACAGCTTTTTCCTAAATTCAGGCTTCTAAACTATCACCATGATTTCTGACTCATCAGTATGCCAGTTGGACTATAGCTGAATATGCTACTTTACATCAATTTGAAATCTGCTCACTTTTTAAATTTAGCTTCATCTAAATCACAGACACACGGGTTCAATATGTTAGATTTTTTTTTTTGCTACTTCTCAGGAAATCATGCATATTACATGTCATACATACATAAGAGATAACACACCGAACCAGCGACTGCTCAGTCAGCTCCTCCTCATACGGCTCCATGTGTATCAGAGGAGAATGGTGTTCCAAAGGGTTGTCAGTCATAACTTTTAGAAGTAGATCCCCAGGACTTTCTTCCAAGGTACTTCTGAGAGGGCTCAAACCATCAACCTTTTGGTCATCAGCCGAGCGTGTTAACCCTATGCATCACACAGGGATATTAATAATGTGTTGGTGGTGATAGTGTGCTGTTGAATCAGTTCCAACTCATAGTGAACCTGTATAAGGCTTCTGAGGAGCATCTGGTGGGTTTGAACTGCCGACCTTGTGGTTTGCAGTCCAGTGCTGATCCTACAGTGCCGTGCCAGGAGTCCATGAATAATGTATACATAACTATTAAAACAGACAGTGTTCCTCTGTGTCACACCTAAAATGATGTTGTATGCTCTACCAGTGGAACAAGAGCCAGACTTTAGGAAGTGACCATGCAGAAGAGGATGGAACCCAGAGGCCATCTGCCCCCTTTGGAAGCCAGAGTACATTCGGCTGGGGATTAGTGAAGAGCAGACATTTTTCAGGCCTTTGTTTCCATCACTAGGGGTGGATTATCCAATAAGCAAGGTAAACAGGGACTTACTTGTGCTTATTTACTAACATGTCAAAACATATGAAATGGTTCATTCCAGATTAGCAAGTAAGCACAAGTAAGCCTATGCTTCCCTTCTCTTCTGGGTACTCCTTCCATGTCAGAGACTGTCCGTTTGAAAAGAGGGTTTGATTCTGTAGGAAGATGGCTTTGAGTTTGGGAGAGAGACAGATGCCAGTCGTACCTAGAAATAGAATCTTCGATGTAGTGAAAAAACTGTCTCTGTGAGTTGGAAGTGACTCGATGACACTTAACAGCAGGTTAGTAAGTAAGCACAGTAAGCCCAGGTTTGCCTTGCTTATTGGGTAATCTAACACTGCCAGTCACTAAACATTCTCTTTAACTGAAACTCTATATTGACCTTGAGACTATTAAACAGATAGCACTTTTCTGTGGGAGTGGAGGGAGTGGAGTCCTTGATCACGCCCCTCATTGAGCCTCTAATACGCTGCCAACAATCCCTGCTGAGAACAATTGACTTAACCCCACCTAGACCAGTTACCAGCAAGTTATCCCACCCATAATGACCTATGGGTGCAGAGTAGAACTGTACTCCACTGGGTTTCCAAGCTTGTGGAATCTGATCACCAGCCATTCCTCCAAGGTGGGTTTGAAAGCCTGCACTGACAATATTTCAGCTAGTAGTCAAGTGTTTAGCCGCTTGCATGACCCAAGGATTCTTGGTTTAAAGCAGTGGGTTTCTAATTGAGAATCCTCAGACCAAGAGGATCAGCAGTCCCTGAATCCTTGTGAGAAAGGCAATCCTTAGACCATACTCCATGCTAAACCAGAAACTCCAGATTTTATGAGCCAACTTCCAAGTGATTCTGACGCACAAGTAATTCTAATACGCACTAGCTTACTGGCGGAGCGGCCATTGGAGCTGGGTCTTAAGGAAAGGGAAGAATTTGTATGAGCAGAAGGATGAGAACAAGCCCAGCAGACAACAGGTAGAAAGAAGGTTCTAGGTGGAAGGTGGGTAGAGAAAAGACTAGCAAATCAGGTGCAGTCAGGAATGGGGTGACATCAGAGGAAAGGGTTTACTCAAGAGGTCTTAGACTTTTCTGGAGTCTGGGCATCTGAACATCTGTGTCCCTAGAGCCACTAGACCTGGAGGAAGTGGTGGAAGGACGTTGATTTGAGGAGACAGGGCTGGGAATCCAGAATTTAGGGTCAGAGAAACTCAACCTCTCTGTGCCTCAGTTTCCTCCTCTGGATAAGGTGGGTCATAAGAGAATATATCTCTTGCATACACTGTTGCAGGTTGAGGTTGACCTAATGGGGCTCTTGGCAGATGGAGCCTCTACCTAGGCATGTCCAGGATAGAAGGTGAAAGTCAGGCTCGGTGAGGTGGCTGGGTCTCGGTGCAGAGCTCAGGGTGTTGGTGTGAGGTGTTGGGGGCATGAGGGAAGTTGTTTGGTAAAAGCAATGATGTAAATGGCAGGAGTGGATTCCTGGTGTAATGCTGTATGATAAGCACTAGACTGCTAACTACAAGGTCAGCTGTTCAGTCCCACCAGCTGCTCCTCAGAAATTCTATACAGGGTCACTATGAGTCGGAACAGACTCAACAGCACTTAACAATGGCAGCAGTGTTCAAACATTCTACTGTTACCTAAACCTGGGCCTAATGGATGAAATGGGATCCTGGAGCATTCCTGTCTCCTAAAGGCCTTGTCAATGAGTCATGGCAGAGGGGGCAAGTGGATGCCCCACATCTGAGGACCCTTCAGCTGCACAATCCTAAAGACTCCCAGAAATCCCATATATAGAGTGGTCATAGTCCCGAGCACTTCTAAGATAGCCTCGTTTCTGCCCTAATGGCACACTCTCACACTCACCCACTCAGTGAGTGTCATGCACTTGAAGGGGCAGGTCCTGGCCTAGGTGGAGGGAAAACAGTGTTAAACAGAACACATCGGGGGCAGAAGACAGACATAGCAACAAGCAGTGGTTCCATAGGCAGAATAAACCCATCAGGAGGCTATGTGGACACTGAGAGGAAGACACAGGTATTCTGCTTGGAGGATCTGGGAAGGTTTCCTGAGGGAAGAGGTGTGCAGGTGGGCCCAGGATCATTTCCAGGAGCTGAGGATGCCCTGGGGAGTAGAGGTACCATCAGGTGGACTGGAAGCAGCTACTGAGAAGGGGCTAGGGTACCAAGAGAGCACAGATTGCGCTGACCTGCAGATAAGTCAGGAAAGCTCTTCTCCAAGGTCATGCTACCCCCAGTATCCTCGGAAGCCTCAGAGCCAAAGCCCAACCAGACCTGATCTAACCAGGGCACTGGCAGCCTGCCTACTTGTCAAAACCCCACTGACCAGCCCCCAGAGTGAGATGAACATCCAAGGACAACACATAGAAAACACGTGTTAAGTGCCATCAAGTCCGTTCTGACTCATAGCAACCCTATATAGGGTTTCTGAGGAGCAGCTGGTGGGTTTGAACTGACAACCTTGTGGTTCAAACCGCCCTTGTTGTCCAGTACTTATCTTACAGAATCACACAAAAAAGCCCATTTGAGTCCTTCATAGATAGAGTCACTATGAGGCAGAATTGACTCGATGGCAGTGGGGGAGTCATGGGTGGCCCCCAAACGGAAACAAATTTCAGTCTTTTTTGGTTCCAAGATTCATAGAAGGGCATCCTCATCTTCTACAAAGCTGAGGTGAGACTCCATTCTAATGGGCAGCTGACCTCAGCTTTGGCAGATGCTGCCAGGTGGGAATATAGATTCTCAAAAAAATTTCAGAGTTCCATCATGAAGTATCTTAGTTTCTAAATACAGTCCATTTTAAGACACGGCAAAAGAGCTCTGTTTGGCCTACTGACTAAGACTTAATTACCAGAGTCCTATCCCTTGCCAAGGTCTTTGTTACAATTGGACCCCAGGCACGTATCTGTACTTGATGGTTAGATAGAGGCTTCACTCAAAGGCCCTCAGCTAGGAAGGAGCAGAGCTAGGATTCAAACCCAAGAGCAGAGAATCATTGCTGCAGCAGGGTACCAAACCCATTGCTGATGAGTCTATAATACCATATAAGACAGAGCAGCACTGCCCAAATGGGTTTCTAGACTGCTACATGTTTCTCCCTCAGAGCAACTGCTGGGTTCGAACTTCCACCTTTCAGTTACCTGCTTTCTCAGGCTGTGCTGGTAAGTGCTATCAAATCAGTTCTGACTTATAGCAACCCTATATAGCGTTTCCTAGGGGCAGTTAGTGAGTTAGAACTGCCAAACTTGCCAGTGCTTATCCTCTAGTATCCCAAGTGTCCCTGACATACCAGGAAGTCTTTGTTCCTGTGAGGCTCTATCGCCACCTAGTGGTTACCACTCAGTATCCAGGTCCACTTACAAGAATGAGGAGACTCTCTGTTCCCTTGGTGTCTCAGGGGCACAGGGTCCTATGGGTTTGGGAGGCCTGGGTTTGAGTTCTGTTTCCGTGACTTATGACTTTAGGATGGACATTATAAAGCTCTAAGCCTTGGGGCTCATTGCCAAATGTGAGGGGGAAAGCGGTGAGGGGAATGGAATCTCTCACTTGGGTTCTAAGGAGTAAATGAGAAAATGCAGATCAAGTGTTTAGCAAAGAATCCCCATATACCTGGTACCTAGTAAGGGGTAAGCATATGTCCACCTTGTTATAAAAAGCAAAAGAAAACTGGACAGCTTCCTCTGACCAATTTTTGGGACCCTTCCAGCCAAGCCGACACCTCCAATCTTTACACTTTTTCTTGCTTTGTTCTGGCCTCATGGATAGCCAGGAAGATTCAGAGC